TTAGAGGCCAGCCAGGACCACTGATAAATCCTAGAAAGAAAAAAGCAGAACAGTCTTATGGTTGGCACTTTAATAGTACTAGAGTGTCTATCTTGTACTCGGGCCAGGCGGAGTGTGAAGCCAAGCTAGGAAATGCTCCCAGTGGTCAGACAGGGCTGTGCTGACCCTAACTCTCCAGGAGTGACCGCGGAGTTCGCATAGCAGTCTGGGTTCTCGCCTCCCCACCAGCTGTCCCTTCCTCTCAAGGGCCCGGGGTGGGGTGTCCTCGGACAACCACAGACCTGCCCTCTGCCCAGCCCTCCTCACTGCCAGATGCCTAGGGTCCAGGGGATAAGGCAAGATTTGTCACCCTGCCCCTAGTCAAGCATAACCTTGGCAGTCCCACAGGGGACACCCAACCCTACAGTAACAGGGCCTTGAAGGCCCAGACTCTGCAAGGACCAGACCCTGCCCCGGCAGCCTGGTGGCCTCCGGTCTTAGGGCAGTGGCCAGGTGTACCCAGAGGTGCCTTGGCATCTTGGTGTCCTGGGTCAGGTGAGCGAGCTCCCCACATCACCCTCACCTTCCAGGTCGGTGATCATGGCCTCGTGCTTGTTCTTGAGCTTGGCAAGGCTCTTCGACTTCTCCTCCTCTTCCATGAGGTTGGTGGTGAACTCAGCTATTCTGTCTTCCAGCAGCTTCTTCTCCTGGCGGGGTGAAGGGGGGTGGCCAGAGTCAGGTGTCAAGGTGTCAGCTGAGCACAGAACACTTCAGCTCTCATGACATGCCCAGAGACCCAGGATGGATGGACAGGCCGAGCCTTTGACACTTGATCCAGTTCATCAGATTTCTCTGGACCACAGGGTTTCTTCCAGAGGTCAATGGCCCTCGAAGCAGCCACATGTGCTTCCTTAGGGTCTAAGGTGTGGTGCTAGCCCTCCCTGGGCCTTAGGAAAAGTGGCAGCCAGGCCTGGCCAGTGACACCAGAGGCAGCGTCAGTGTTGGAAGCCACGTGCCGACCGCGGGTTCAGATCTTGAGCTGACTTTGACCATGTGGGACACACGGGTCCATGCTCCTGACCAGCTGGAAGGCTTGGGGTGGGGACCCTGGAGTGACAAGTCCCTACTGATGGTGCCTGTCTGTCTTTGTGCACATGCATGGTCTCATCCAAATAAAAACTTGAAAGAGATGAAAGGAACGCTGTGGCAGGCCCTGGGCAGGAATGAAAGGCTGTGCTCCTCTAAGAAGGGGCCACATGCACACCCCCCTCTTCCTTGCCCCTCGCTCACCCTCCAGGTGGGCTGCGGTGGGCTGATCACACCACCAAAGTGCCCAGGGCTGCTCTCCTCACTGCTCTGCGTGGCCATCCCCAGAGCCCTAGTCTCAGTAAGGTCCCCATGACCCCTGCCACAGACGCTGTCACTCAGCAGGAGCGCCTTGCTCCCACATACAGTCCCTGTCATGTCACACCACTGCAGTTCTCCATCCTCTGGGGACCAGGACAGCATTCGTCCCTGCCCTGTCCCCTCTCTGTTCACATACCCTAGGTGTTTGTAAAAGTCTATCATGAGAGACAGAGACAGTCCCCATACCTCACAGAGACAGTACCCTCTACAGAGTCTCCATTCCATATTCACCTCTTGTCTCAACCTGCCCTGGGACACAGCACACACTCAGAATGTTCAAGGAGGTCTCTGGACATGAACTGGGACCTCCCACGTTGGTCAGTCTTGTGAGTGTCCTGCTACCCATGCCCCCCACCTGGCCCCACCCCCAGGTGCTGTCTGCTCTCTGGGGTGGGTACTGACAGAGACCAACTTGGTTCTCACTGGAAACAGCTGCCACCTTGGAGACTCCGGAGGAGCCCGGGGCTGAAAGACGGGTGTAGCACCACACAGGTGGTTCTGTGCTCCCGCGTGGGACTCAGGCTCAGAAACAACTTTACTGGGGAAATGTCGGACTCTCCCTAGGGCCACATTCATTGATGAGAACATCAATCCCTTTGAACATGACCTGGGCACCCAGGGGCCACAGGTAACCCAGAAAAAAGAACCTGCTACTGAGCAGAGACCAGCCTGGAGCTGCAATCAGAAAAGACAGGAGGGAGCCGTGCCAGGCAGGAGCTGCCCTACAGGTGGGCCCGCTCTCCCTTCCTCACACACAACAAGGAGCAGCCAGGCAGGGCCTCACCTTGGCCAGCTTGCAGTTCTGGTCCTCCATGATGATCTGGTCTTCCTCCAGCTTCTTCAGCTTGGCCTCCGTGGTCACCTTCTCCAGCTGCAGCTTCTGCCGGGCACTCTCCTCCTCCTCCAACTGCTCCTCAAGTTCCTACCCCGAAGCCAGAGAGCCCGTGAGGAACAGCAGGCTCTTCAACCCCAAGATAGCTGCGCTGGGCCCCAGAGCCCATGCAATGTTTGGAAGGTTCCCCTCCAGGGAATTGGACAAAGCAGGCTGGTGGCTCTCTGCTCCTCCGGCCAGCCAGAGCCAGGACTGGAGGGTGGGAAATCAAACTGGCTCCGATGCGTGACTGGGCAGCGCTCACGGGACTGTGATGTGCAGGTGGGATTTAGTCACCCCGAAAAGGAAACCACACACAGGTTGGCCAGAGAGACAAAGTGAAAACCCCGCCTGCCAGGACATATCTGACTGCCGGCCCTCCCCAGGTCTGTGGCACCACCCTCTACACGGTCCCAAGACTTGGCCAAGAGAGCACTCTCTACACAGTCCCCGTGCCATATCCACCTCCTGTCTCGGCCAGCCCTGGGACACAGCATACACCAAGAAAGGTCAGGGAGGTCTCAGGACATGAACTGGGATCACCTGGCCGCACCCCCAGTTACTGTCTGCTCCCTGGGGTGGGCACTAACAGGGACCAACTTGGTTCTCACTGGAAACAGCTGCCACCTTGGAGACTCCGGAGGAGCCCGGGGTGGTCCCGGGCTCCCGCCTGGGGCTCAGGCTCAGGAACAGTTTTACCGGGGAAATGTCAGACTTTCCCTTGGGCCACGTTCACTAGAAAATCCCTTTGAACATGACCTGGCACCCAGGGGCCACAGGGCACCCAGAGACCACAGGTTACTCTGGAAAAAGAAGCGGCTACCAATCAGAGGCTAGCCTGGAACAGCAAACAGAAAAGACAGGAGGGAGCTGTGCCAGGCAGGAGCTGCCCGACAGGTGCGCCCACTCTCCCTTCCTCACACACAACAAGGAGCAGCTAGGCAGCAGCACCAGGGCCTCACCTTGGCCAGCTGGCAGTTCTGGTCCTCCATGATGATCTGGTCTTCCTCCAGCTTCTTCAGCTTGGCCTCAGTGGTCACCTTCTCCAGCTGCAGCTTCTGCCGGGCACTCTCCTCCTGCTCCAGCTTCTCCTCAAGTTCCTACCCCGAAGCCAGAGAGCACGTGAGGAACTGTGGGCCCTTCAGCCCCAAGATAGCTGCGTTGGGCGCAAGAGCCTATGCAGTGTTTGGAAGGTTCCCCACCAGGGAATTGGACAAAGCAGGCTGTCTGCCCCTCCAGCCAGCAGGAGCCAGGACTAGAGGGTGGAAATCAAACTGGCTCCGGTGCGTGACTGGGCAGCGCTCACGGGACTGCAATGTGCATTAACTGCGATGGGATTTAACCACCTTGAAGAGGAAACCACACAGAGGTTGGCCAGATAGACAAAGTGAAAACCCCACCTGCCAGGAGACATCTGATTGCTGGCCCTCCCCAGGTCTGTGGCACTGCACCCTCAACGCCCTGCCCCTCCACCCACCTGGCCCCTCTCCGAGCTGCTGCTCACCTGGATGTTCTGCTGCATCATCTTCTTCTCCACCTGCAGGTGCTGGCAGCGCTCTTCCTCCTCCTCCAGCCTGGCCTCCAGGTCATGGCAGATCTCCAGCTCTTGCTGCTTGGACATCAGGTGGGCCTGCAGCTCCTCAGCCTCAGCACACAGCTCTGTTTCAGTCGGGTGCTGCTCCTGCAGCTGCAACTTCTCTGCCATAAACTGGAAAGATCACACAGAAAACAAGCTCCTTGCAGGCTCCTTGATCCACTCCCAGATGGGACACCAGGCTCCCAGCAGGAGGCGCATGCAGGAAGGGGTGACTTCCATCTACAGAGCACCTAAGCCCTGGGGCACTTCCCAAACCCGATGTCCTCCATCCTTCAGCACTATCCCGTGACACTGAGATCCATAGGAAACAGGCCCGGAGAGGCTGGGTGGTGAAACTGGGGCTTGAATCCAACACCCATGAACTTCCCATTCCATTGGGAATGCAGAGACCAGCCAACTGTTCCCTAGTGTCTGCACAAACATTTTAACCTGAAAATCTGCCTTGCCTACTGGCAGCCGGCAGGAGGCACCAAACAGTGGCTGCCCCTGGTGGGC